TATCATATTCAGCATCAACATAATCATCATTATTATTATCATCGTTATCACCGTCATTATCATTATCATCATCAACATCACCATAAACATCAACATCATCAACACAATCATCATCATCATCCTCACTATCATCACCACCATCATCATCACCACCACTCTCGTCATCATCATCATCATCCTCATCGTCATCATCTTTATCATTATCAACGTCAAATTAGAGAGGCACACACCCGTACGTCCTAATATGTGAATACCCCCCCCCCCCCGTACACAATATACCCATATTATTGTTCTCTCTTACACACACACATGTTCATGAAAGCCTCTACGCATCCACTATTTCGACCATCCCTCCTTTTATTCCTTCTCTCTTAAATCATCTATTTCCTTCAGTCTATCTTTTTATATTTACATCATGTATGTTCCTTCGAATTCTCCTGTATAGTTTTGTCGTAATAATATGTCTATATCCCTCTCAAGTTGGCTCTACAAGCTGTACAAAATGAATTCATTTCATAGTTCTTATGATCTTCCGACAGTTTGCTGGTCTGAAACATTTTCAACATGTAAATTTATTAGTTAGTCCAAAAGCAGATTCAAGTTTAAAGGGCAATACAACCTTGATATCAAACTACTGTACAAGAAAGAAGAATAATCGGACAAGAAGGCTAATAAAGGTTCGAATAAAAACTGACAAAATATAAGAAAGTTATGATTATTTCATTTCAAGTTGTAATCACATTATGCAGCGCCAGACAATTTTCCAATTTCTTTCAACACAAACATGAGTAAAAACTAAAATTGGACAAATTACAAGATTGGGGGTCTACTTTTTTAAAGAGGACCTATACTAATATGCTATTCAAAATGTATTTTAGTCAGAGGCGGTACTCGGATAGGCGCCCATTTTACTTTGAAATGTGCCCTTTTACTTTTTGGTAAATTCTCCTTTCCCTTTATTATAAGTGCCCCTTTTCTGGTGCCAGCAGTACCCCCTTTCTACCTCTGATAAGTGCCCCTTTTACTATTGAGACATTTGTCCATTTTGCTTTCTGATTATAACCTCTTTCCTTCTCGTATGTCCTGTTTTTAATAAATGCCCCCTTTCCACCTCTGATAAGTGACCCTATCAGGTTTCCCTTTAACTTTTTAATGAGTGCATTTTCCCTTCTAAGAAGTGCCCCTTTAAAGTTTTTATGCGTGTGCCTTATTACGGGGAATTCAGATATTATTGATACTTTTGTACATCAAATTTATCAAATTTATTTCAAACGTTCTCCATTTTGTTTCTCTCATTTCTTCCTTTGAAAAATGAAATAATCTCAAAGTTGGAATGCCCTTTAATGCCGCTCTCTTGCACAAAAGCTCTTTCAACTGTGCGATGTGTGAAATTGATGTACAATTCAGACTGAATCGGTGTGAATCAAAATTTATTTGGTAAGCAATATATAGGTATTTACAACACCTCATGAAAGTTTGGGTAGCTACCGTATTGCAGTATGTTGTTTTATATCCAGAAAATAGAAACAATTATCTACACGTAGTAAGGAGAAAGGTTCAAAGTCGTGCCGAATTTTGAGGCATATCGAACGATGACGATTCGATCACAATAGACATTATATCTGCATAAGAAACAGGAGTATATTTAATATGTATATACAGTACCGGTAGTATATTATGTTGCACAAGCTCCCTCTATAGCATAACAAAACTGCAGCTCCTTTTATACACACGTCTGCGCCAACCCACCCCCCCCCCCCCCCGCTATTAAATTTAATAAAATTACTTTTTAGGGGGTGTTTGTCAGGTAATTTGATTTATGGCTCTAGCGAGCAAAACGAGTTTATTATTGACCCCAAAAAATATCATTAACATCCAATAATTGATGTCCACTGCCTAATAATAACCAAAAATTAAAAAAAAAAAAAAAAAATAAGCATTGCATAGTTATCTTTGTGTATAGCGATTTCAGTTCACAACGAATTCAGATGCTTCAAGTGAAGAATCAATTACATGTACATGTATAACGTCATGATCGTATAGCAACTTTCATATTTCAAATTATGTTAGATTAAGTATGAGCAATGGCATGAGTAGAAATCTAAAAAAGGTCAAATAAATACATTAATTGAGAGAGACAAAGACTTCTACAAAGTAATGGATATAAGAACATTTTTTAAATGAACAGCATTCCTGGTGGATACTAATGCATACTCTGTTCAAAATAACAGGGATGCATACAATGGAAAGTCCACCTGACATGACGTTGATGAAGAAAATGTAAGAAACGGGGGAATAAATGTTTAAAAATATGAAAAAAATAATGTAATCGTATAGCTTTTAAGTCTCCTATAGATAGGCAACTCTAAATGCGATTGCCTCTGCATTTGTTTTGTATGGTAAATGTCCCCAAAATATCTTCTTCTTTTTAAGATTTTTGATGATAGTGTATTTGCTTTAAACACAGGAGGACCTATAAGAACATGTTTACATTTTCAAATTTCGGCAACAGCTTTGACAAAGATCATTGCTGGGTGGGTGATGTTAAAAAAAATCAACCTTTAGTACAAGGCAAACATAGAGTAGCTACATTAAACTCACACATTTTTAGAATTTTCTAAAATTTATAAAGACCGATTTTTCTAATGTTTCTACACTCATCAAAGTTAGTGAGATTCCTTTCTAATACATACTATTTAATGCATATGGGTTAAGATAGGATTGACACAAATGTCTATCAACAATATATTAAGAAGAAAAAATGGAAAAAATTGAATTTCCTCTCATGATTATGGGTAAAATATAAAGACTAGTTTGAACATTCAGACATGGATCTGAAATGCATCATAGAAAATGAAGGAAAAGTATTCAATTTATTTAACAGTAATATACACAAAAATTCCGTTATTAGAATGATTATCTCTAACTGTAAAATAATCTTTTAAGTCCACAATAATGAAATTGTGTCTACATCATTTATACATTTACAACAGCCACCAATAAAGTCATATTCACATGTAGAGTCATCATCAAGAACAAAATCCTGAAAGATAAACAGAGGAGTATATTAAAAGAAAGGTTCAATCATTCTAATTGCTCTAGGAATATCAATTCTAAAACAGTCTACAAAACTCCATTATAACGGATTCCATTGGATATTATATATAAAATATAGGCTCCTTATTTTATGAAGTAATCTTTTAGCCTACAATAATGAAATTGTGTCTACATCATTTATACATTTAATGATAATAATAATAATAATAATAATGTCAACTTATATAAAGCGCACATATCCATTCTAAAAGACTGCTCAAGGCGCTCTTGTACAAAATCAACATAATTATACAATATATTAAAACTACGACATAAACAAATAATGCTTAAGTTTCTTCTTAAATATTTCAATTGATGATGATTGTCTTATTTCTAATGGTAAAGTGTTCCATAATTTGGGTGCAACGTCAGCAAAAGCCCTGCCCCCCCCCCATTTGTTATTGGTTTTGGGTGTACATAACTGGAGCTGTGAACCTGAACGTAAATTCCGTTGTGGGGTGTACGGTTTCAAAATCTGATACAAGTAATGGGTGAAGAATGAAGAAGTGTTTTGTAAGTAAGGAGTAACAGCTTAAACATAATTCTTTTTGAGACTGATAAACAATGAAGAGATTTTAATTTATCTGAAATATGGTGTGATCTACTGCGGAGAGTGACGAGCCGAGCTGCCATGTTCTGAACTCGTTGCAGATGGGCTATTTGATTTTGAGGAAGGCCAATATACAATGAATTACATATATCCAAACGACATGTAATAAAAGAATGAACAATCTGCTAAGTGGCTTTCTGATTCAGATATTTTCTGATCCTCCAAATATTGTGAATATGGAATGATGCTGAACTAACAACATTTGAAATCTGAGATTTCATGGTCATTCCAGCATCAAACAAAACTCCAAGATTACGAACCTGATTAACACATTTTATTTCAGAGTTGCCAATGATGATCTTTGGTGCAGAAAATTTACTCAACTGCCTGGCAGATCCAATCAACATGTGCTCAGTTTTATCTTCATTCAACTTCAGAAAGTTAGCATTCATCCACTGACTAACCGACCTAAGGCATGACTCAAGAGTTTTTATACCAATATCAACATTACATTGGGATGGTTTTAAGTACGATTGAGTGTCATCTGCGTAAAAATGGTACTGTACATTGTGCTCTATTATCACATCACGCAGAGGACTCGTTTACACTGTAAATAAGACTGGAACCAAAACAGATCCTTGGGGAACAGAATAATCTTGATACACAGGTTTAGAGATTGAGCCACCAATACGGGCATGCTGAGGGCGATATAATAAATATGATTTACAACAGCTACCAATAAAGTTATATTCACATGTAGAGTCATCATCAACAACAAAATCTTGAAAGATATACAGATCGGAAGTATATTAAAAGAAAGGTTACTTTTTAGAAAGGTTCAATCATTCTAATTGCTCTAGGAATATAAATTCTAAAACAGTCTACAAAACTCCATTATAACGGATTCCACTGGATGTTATATATACATATAGGCTACTTATTTTATGAAGCCTCAGAAAAAACAAGCTTGTTAGAAAGCTTTAAAAAAGGATGTTTGTGTGTATGTGTAATTGGGTTTTTACAGACGTTTATCAATCAGATCTGATTATTTACGCCTGGGGACCGACCTTTAAACGTCACCATCCGAAAGACGGGACTCAGTTTCAAACCTGCATCCTCGGCTGAATCAGTTTGTAACTTCCATTGTTAGCTGGATTACAGGCGCACGCCAGTACAACGCCCCGGAGATGGGTCCATTTTCAACGAAATATTATGTTATTCAAAAATTGTCAGCGTGCCTGTTTTGACTAGGAAAAAGAGGTCTAGTCGTACACATCTCACCCCTCCCGTCTTCATACGGCCCTGAAGACAGTGGTATCATACAATGCCAGAAATGGGGAGTAATCCGTTATATTCAATGGAATATATATAGTATATCAGGAGTGCAGAGAGCGATCTCTCCTGATCGGTACTGATGGAGAGAATACCAACTTAGCTCGGGCTTCTCAATCTTGTAATCATTGACGAGGTTCTGGACATGCTTCAGCTCGTTAGTGTACTCATCAATGCTGACCAAACCTAGATCGTGCTTCACATTGGCTATCAGGATTGTATTCCATTGAGACACAGCGGCGAATAGAAAAAACCCTAATTTCGCTGATTCATATTTTACAACACCTTGTTTGTCAATCAATCGTATTGTATCACCAGATGCGATGATCAGGTTATCATTATAATTAGTAATTTTTAAAGGAACATACCCAACACATGGTATCACCCTGACCGCCTGCCCCCCTGCTGGTGAGAATACCTGGATCTTCTGGGTTTTGCAGTAGCTAACATAGATCTGATCATCAGCGTCCACAGTGAGGGTAGCAAATTCACCTTCATCGACACTCAAAGACTCAAACACTACATTTAACTTCGTGTACTCTAGTGTGTACAGTTTGATATTTGTGGGGCCATCAAGTATAACATACCGACCATCAGAGAGAATCCCTATTCCACAAATCCACACATGTTTGAGAACTGTCTGCTGGATCTGACCATCAGCAGAGACGATCTCCACGCCACCTGTCAAATGTCCCACTGCCATTCTACCATCTGGTGTACTAACCATGGCATTAATGCTACCCTTGCTAGTAGGCAAAGCGATGCTCTTTGCAACTGAATTTACGATGTTACCGAGAGTTAGCTCGTCCATTCCATTTTTTCTCATAAAAGTAACAATTTTCCCTTTCTTGCTCGATTGCATCGGCTGCTTGTAGTCAGGATCTTCTTGTTTCAAGGCCTCTTGTAAGTCTTGACGTAGATTGTCGTGTGCAGCCAAAGCATTCATATCAAACGGTATCTTTGTCCTATTGGTTACCACGTCAGCTATGTTGGTCAAGTGAGTGATGTGCTCCTGAGCTGATTTCTTCATTTCGTCCAGTTCTTTCTCTACTCCTTCGGTCCTAACCTTGACTTGAACAATGAGGATATCTTTCTGTTCTGTCAGCTGCCGGACCGATTCTTCATATGCTTTGTTGATATCATCTGTACACTGCGTCTGAACATTGCTCACACGCTCCTTCTGTTCATCAATGAAATCAACATATTTCTGAAGGAAAGAGCGTTTTTTGTCCGCCTTGGATTTGAGGTCCTCGACACTCTTCATATGGCTGCTTTCATAAGCAGCTGCCTCGATGACCCGATGTCCTTCGTCTTTATGCTGCATGACAACACACCTGAAGCAGGCAAATCTCCTGCAGTCGGAACAGAAGCACTCCTCATCCTCTTTGGGGTGTTTCTTGCATTTACGGTATCTACGCACTGACACCTTCCCTGATACGATCTCACTAATGGCTAAGACCTCGTGACTGATGAAGTTTTGCCAAAGAGAGTGTGCATTGTGGCAAGTGATACAGAGATACATGCCACAGTCTTGACAGTAGACAACAGCTTGGGGTTTGTCCTCGGATTTACAATTCGTGCAAAACTGATGTTGATTCTTCACATCCTCTATGAGAGACTTCAAAGCTAGATTTGTCGGTAATTTGCTGACATCTTGGTTTAGCACCTGGGTTTCAGCTCTGCAGACAGGGCATCGTAGCATCTGGTCGTTACCATGCACGCATTCCAAGAGATTGTTCAGACAGGCCTTGCAGTAGGTGTGCGAACAAGACAGGATCTTCGGATCGGTGAAGGTATTCAGACATACAGGACACTCCAGACTTTGAGCAATGACATTCTTGAATGCATCAGCCATGATTCGATTTCTACAGGAAAACGAGATAAAAGAAAAGGAAAAAACATAATGATTAGTACGTGTAGCTTCGATTCATCTGACGGTATAAAAGAGGAGTGTATACATAATCCTCACGTCTTTCCCTACATAATATAACGCGTAAAAATATGATATTCCGTGTTATCTTGATAAAAAATGAATCATGTTATTCATCAACTGACTTTAGTAATACAAAATGAATTAAGAAAAAACTTTTTTTCTTTTGTCGCTCATTATTAAATGGGGGAAAATGATGATGATGATAATGATAATTACAATAGTAATGGTAAATATAATAATACTAATAAAATAGATAATAACAATCATCATCATAATAATAATGATGCCTTGTTTAGCCAGATCTTCATCATTACACATTCTGTTTTCCCCGAAGGCGCGATATCAGTCGGTAGAGCAGTGGTCTCGTAATCCGGTGACCCGGTGACCCGGGTTCGAAACCAAATCGATGCGCCAGTGCCCTTTGGTAAGGCATTAATCATCATTACCAGGTCCCTTGGAGAGGACCTAAAGCAGTCGGCCGTCTGGTTGCTTACTAATAAACATTTATGCTTTCTTAGCATTCAGGTAAAATAACCACCACCACCACCACATTACAAGGCCCTGCAATCATATTACTATCCCGGCTTTAGCCAACATAGCATGATAATGTACTCATAAGCATTCACGGAATTTCTTTCTGCCAGGTACCTTTTCACTTTGAACCTGGGATGGGTGGAGAGTAACTATGCAATGTAGAATACTGTCTAGCCAAAGGACATTAGTGCCGTGGTGGGACTCGAACCGCGAACCAGGTAATTCACAACCAATCAACTTATCCACTAGAATAGACCACAACACCTCTACATGAATCGCAACTAGTCATGGTAGTAAAAGTTTCCTGAAAATCCGACGTATACATTACACCACTTGAAGCTCATGTATGGTTAAAGGTAAACCGTAAAAAACAAAAAAATTAAATTCTAAACCAGTCTCATAAATGTGGTTAACCATTTACATTTCAGCACTTTGGCATTGAAAGAGAATCCTTACATCATTTCTTAATTAATCTAAAACCAAGTATTAGAAAATTATGACCTCTGAACGAAAACAAATGTGATCCGTGATCTACCTTCAGATAGGATGCAGATGAACACACCTTTATTCTTAACATGGAGTTTAGGCTTTGAACAACTCTAAATCTTAGTGGGCAACACTTTTTATTAAAACTAATAAAGTATCAAAAGCAGTACTCTATATACATATACTGATGCACACTGGAATATACGATTAAAACAAAAATCATCATGTTTGTATAGAGAGAGAATTATATAGATTCCTCCAGGGGCGTACGCAGGGGGGGGGGTTGGGGGTTCAAACCCCCCCCCTTTGGTATTTTTATGTGTGTAAACCCCCCTAAAAAAAACTAAACCCCCCCCCCTTTGTATTTTTTTTTTTTAATTTAAAAAAAAAAAAAAAAACGTAAAGTGACCTTACCCCCCCCCCCCCCCCTCAACGAAAAAAAAATGTCAAATTTTCAAATTTCGAGACAAAAAAAAAAAAAAAAAACTGTCCGTTTTTTTCGGGACACACTGTATAACAATTTAAAAGGAAATTGTTGCAAATTGTTGCAAATCTTTGCTGCATTTCTTTTTTTAATGCCTCGGTCTGTTCCCCTCATTTCATATCGATCAGTCTAGGTGTTAAATCAAATCAGTAAAAATGTATACGGTATGCCTTTACAATGTGGCGGTCCACTGATCATAAGTGGTAGTAAAACTGAATTTATATAGTCTCTCAGTCTATTTTTAGTGACTGGAAATTCCCATCAACCTTAGATCGCCCAATTAAACCAAGCCAAGCATTTTGTATAGAACAAAGGTGTGCCCTGCGTCCACCCCACACACAATACAACGTTTTCTAAATGGCGTTAGTGCCGGTTGTCGATTCGGAACTCCCACTATTAGATAGAGAGTCAAGTGAAAGAACCACTCTACTATACCTCCACAACTACCACACCTATGTTAATCACGTAAGCTGAAATGTTAACCAAGTGTATTCATATCTACATAACATTATAATAATAGTAGTTTATTACGCATTTATTATACTAATCACAATAACATACCAAAATCCACCCAGGACAGACAAACACTGAGAAGTTTACGTATGAACGATATCAATATGATCACAAGTTTTTTTAAATGCGACAATTGTTACTTCCGGGTTCACGATCAAGTACATTAAGGAGGAAGGGGTGCAGCCTGTTTCTTCATGGTATACCAAAGTAACCAAACTGAGTCTAAAAGGCCATTCTCATATTGGTGTTAGCTCAAATGGTCTCTGTTAATCACCTGCAAGACATATAATATATAACACTGAATTCAACAGTATGTAGCCTAGAGTTCAGTGATCTAGACCCAGTTTAACTATTTCAGTCTAAGGAAAATGATGATGTTATAAACCAGATTTTAAAAAGCCTCAAAGGTTACCAAGTGTCTACCTTATATTGTATTTATACGTCAATGTAAAACGGAAATATTAAACAAAAAATACCGAATTTGTGCTAGTATTGACACAGACATTTTAATTTACTCACCTCTTTCCCCGCAACTACGTATCGGTCTATGTGTTATATAGAATCAGTAAACATGACTGCTCTTTGCCTTTACAATGGACTGGTTCACTGACCATAAGCAATACTATATACATGTATGTATTTAGATCTTCAATCTATTTTTAGGTTCTGGGTAATCCCAACAACCTTTGACATCCAAAAAGTGATAGCACAATAAAAACTCGATCTCGGAGATGGCGCTAAACATGCTAAACAGATCCGGAAAGGCGAATAATAAAAAAAGATATTCAATCTTAATAATAATAATAATAATAATAATAATAATAATAATAAAAATAATAATAATAATAATAATAATAATAATAATAATAATAATAATAGTAATAATAATAATAATAATAATAATAATAATAATAAATTACATTTATATAGCGCTTAATACAAAGTTTCTAAGCGCTTAACAAAAAATTAAATTAAAGTAATGTTAACGTACAAATTACAAGAATATAATACATGATACATAATTATAATAACAAATTCCTAATAACAATCATACAATAATAATAGTTAATATTTACATAACGCTTTATAGTTAAACAAACAAAATATGATTACATTACATTACATATTAAACAGATAAGTCTTAAGTTTACTTTTGAATGTCTCTAAGGTTGGGGACTCGCGTATTTCATGGGGAAGATTGTTCCAAAGTTGGGGGCAATCTTAGATCTTTACATTTATTGGCCTATTTATCTGGTTGAGAGAGCTAAGAGGTTGTTCGATTAATTATATTTTTAGGTTGTTTATTTTTTGGGGTTGTTTAGCGGCCAACGTTTCATAGGCCTACAAGACATGGGGTCGAAAGAGCTGCGCCCATACCCATCCCCCCCCCCCCCGAATTTTAAAGTTGCAAATTATGTTTTCGGGCAAGAGCAACCGACACCTGATTCTGGTGGTTGCGTAATGTCTTAAAAGCCTATTATTATATTTATATGTTTATATTTTATTTTGTATGTCCTGATATATACTTTTGTACTTCAAACCAGTACAATTTCATTCAGGGTAACATTTTTTTCCTGTTATTCTTTCATTATTTTTGAGATCAACAAAAATAAATACTCAATTGGAAAAAATGTAAATACATATTGACAAAAATATTTTAAGAGCATGCTCAGTTTTTACACAATAAAGAAGGCGTGTCGAGTACGCCCTCTAGAACAATACATTGCAAAGAAAAATAGTCGAAGAAAGTTAAAGAAAATGAAATAAAAGGAAAATAAATTTAGAATAAGTAAGTTAGAAACGTATTGCAACAATTTAAAATTCAGCCTATAACTGAGCTGTATAAAAGGGACTATATAAATATATAAATGACAATGAAATGGTAATATAGGCACTTTAATACTGTGTGACTATTTCTTTCTTAAGACTGGAGGTTGATATTCCCACTAACCCCCGACAAAATGAGCCCGTTCACCTATACTTACTCTGCTAGCCCCAAAATATATCTGGCATAAATACAATCATGCAGCTTTAGGGATTCTCGGTCTTTAATTTTGACTCCATGTAGAAGCCACAGAGTTCACTTTCTCCATTCTGTTTCTCTTATTTGATTTGATTTGATTTGATAAGGTTTTATTCGAATATTCAACAATACAGCTGGAAGCTGATACAAGTGAATTTACAAGGTAAAAATAATTCCATATTCCACCGGGCATGGTGGCTCAGTGGTTAGAGCGCCCGCCTCATGAACGGGAGGTCGTGGGTTCGAACCCCGGCCGAGTCATACCAAAGACTTATAACAATGGGACCTTCTGCCTTCTAGCTAGGCGCTCAGCATATTAGATTGGAGAAGGGTAGTAATAACATATTGTGTTATGCAGGGCCCGCTGGAAGAGCAGTTTCATAACTGAAGTGGCTACCCTGGGTAAATAAAACGTTATTATTATTATTATTATATAAAAATATAATTATATGCTTTAACACTTTTAAATAAATCCAGATATAAACAGTACATAGTAAATAAATCATAAATAATGAAAACAATAATAATAATGAGTTCGGTTTGCTTACTTGGATATGAAATAAATAGAAATTCAAAGGGTGTAAGGTCAGGTATACAGTTTGAGAGTCGGAGCAGGACATTTTGATAATGTATTAAGAAAAAAAATTATTATTGATCATTAAAAAATTGAAATTAAATGATTAAACTGTAATATTTACATGAAGTATATATACAAAATAATTCGATAAAATACAATTATTAAATATTGTTATGTATGATCTTCATGAATACGTGATGTAAAACCCGGCTTGAAAACATAAAATTACATTTATTAAATTAAATTTATTAAAATAACATTAATAATTATTGCATTGATCAACTTGCATTTATCAAAGTTGAATTTAAAAAGTCAGATAATATACATTGTTCTTTTGAGTTGCATAGATAATATTATAATTTAGTTGCATTTTATAATAATTTATCGGATCAAAATTGCATTTAACTAAATTATATCTCCATCTCTATTTGTCTGCTTTAAAAGAAAAAGAACTTATTACTAAGGCTGGATTGCCCATTAAGGCGGGAAAGAAGAAGAAGTAATGTATATATTTTAATTTTTACCCGATGACATAATTATTTTTATTGAAGGTTTACTTTTTCTCTTGAGTTTTTCTTACGCTTTGTTTCCTTTAAAATCATCTGCCACAAACGATTGTCGTTCTTAATTATGGTCATATTTCTGAAATTAGTATGAATTGAAAGCAGTTCTGTTATTCTTATTATTACCATCAGCATGATAACTGTCATCATTCATAATCATCATCATCGGGTGTTTGCATAGCAAACACCAGAACATTTTGGAAAAACGGACCCATTTTAATGGTATTTTTGTTAAAAGTGAGACCCATAATTGTTAGGGATTTTTATGTGGGAAAGTGACCCATTAGAGCGGCAGACACTCGTATGTGCTAATATGTGAGCCCCCCCCGTACATAATAGACCCAGATTCTTGTTCTCTCTTACACACATACATGTTCATAAAAGCCTCTACGCATCCACTATTCCGACCATCATTCCTTCTATTCCTTCTCTCTTAAACCATCTATTTCCTTCAGTCTATCTTTTTCTATCTACATCATGTACGTTCCTTCAAATTTTCCAGTATATTTTGCAATTATATTTCTATATCCCTCTCAAGTTGGTTCTACAAGCTGTACAAAATGAATTCATTTCATAGTTTTTATGATATTCCGACAGTTTGCTGGTCTGAAACATTTTCAACATTTAACTTTATAGTTCAAAAGCAAATTCAAATTTAAAGGGCAATATACTAATATACTATTTAAAATGTATTTTTAGTCAGAGGCGGTACTCGGATAGGCGCCCATTTTACTTTTAAAAAAATGCCCTTTTACTGTTTAGTAAATTCTCCTTTCCCTTTATCATAAGTGCCCCTTTTCAGGTGCCAGCAGTACCCCCTTTCTACCTCTGATAAATGCCCCTTTTACTGAGACAAGTGTCCCTTTTGCTTTCTGATAAGTACCTCTTCTCTTTTCTCATAACCCTTTTTCTAATAAATGCCCCATTTCCACCTTTGATAAGTGACCCTATCAAAATATGATAGGTTTCCCTTTAACTTTTTAATAAGTGCATTTTTCCTTCTAAGAAGTGTCCCTTTTAAGTTTTTTATGAGTTTCCCTGATTACGGGATATTATTAATATTTTCGTGTATCAAATTTATCAAATTTGCTTCAAACGTTCTCCATTCTGTTACTGTCATTTCCTGCTTTGAAAAATAAAATGATTTCAAAGTTGGAATGCCCTTTAATGCGACTCTCTTGCACAAAAGCTCTTTCAACTGTGCGATGTATGAAATTGATGTACAATTCAGACTGAATTCGATGTGAATCAAAATTTATTTCAATTCAATTTCAATTTATTTGCTCATAAAAATCCAGAAAACACATGCGAACATTCATAAATCAACATGATACAAAGGGTAAAATTCACCAAAAAAAATAATAACAAAGTATACATTGGATTATAAGTATGAGAGGGACAGCAAGAAAGGAACAAGCCTTGTGATTAGCTGACCCTGTAACATAATACATTAAAGACGCTACAAAAAATAACAAATCACTTACTACAACATAAAGGGGGAGGGGGTGCCTATACATTTAAACAAACAAACATGGTGAATACCTGTCTAAAATAAAGTGCCGAGATTTTGACTTAAAAACATTTAACGAAACTGCTTGTTTAATATCTGAAGAACGAGAGTTCCAGATTTGGGGTCCATGAAATAATATTGAGTTTTTAAAAGATGAGAGCCTCGGTTTGGGTAAATGAAAATCATTAGCATTTCTTGTATTGTATCCATGATATTCATGATTGAACTGAAAGAATGTTTTGATATAGTCTGGCAAGAGGTGATTGTTACATAAGTACATACATATAAGTACCTGAAATACATACATATCATGAAATTTCAATACACCTGATTCAATAAATAGAGGGTTGGTATGGGCAAGGTAAGGTGCATAAGACATAATTCGTATTGCACGTTTTTGTAAAATAAACAATCTATCAATGTGATTATTACTTGCACTACCCCAGGCAAAATTAAGGTACGGGTATACAATATTGCATAATAAATCATTTAAAAAATCTCCTTTGGAAATGATCTTAAACAATACATTATTCCTATATTTTTTGCCAGCTGATTGCACAGACTATCAATGTGATTTTTCCATGTAAGTTTATGATCTATTGTAATGCCTAACAATTTTACTGACGTTACACACCTAATATCTGTATTGCACACTCAAATTGAAAGATTATCTGGTATCAATAAATTACTAAAAATAATATAACTGGTTTTTGCTTCATTGATTATCATTTTATTTGCTTAAAACCACTCAGATATTAATTCAAGTTCAGAATTGAATATATTATGTAAGTCCTGATAGTTAGGATGGGATAAAAACAGACTGGTGTCGTCAGCAAACATAATACAATGTAATAATTTAGATACTTTACTAAGATAATTTATAAACAAAAGAAACAACAGTGGTCTAA